AAAAAAAAAAAAAAAAGGAAAGAAAAGAAAGAAAGAGAGAGAGAGAGAAAGGAAAGAAAGAAAGAAAAGAAAAGAAAAAAAGTGTTATTGATTGATTCTACCTGCAAATGATCACTCAAACCCATCCTCTTCATTTCTTACTGTCCCTGCCTAATTTAAGGTCCTTATCTTCATTGACCTGCTTGGACTCGTTAACGGTACCTAGCTTTTCCCAAGTTCTAATTACCTCCATCCCTTCCTTGATGGGTCTTGGCTTGTCTCCTTGTCTTTCAGTCTTGCCTCCATCTAACCCAGCTGGCTGAACGTTAAAATCACCTGGAGCTCTGGTACTAAAATCCAGTGACTGCGCCTCACCTCTGGGTCTGATGCAATTGGTCCAGAGCTGCTGGGTGATTCTCATGTGCAGCCAGAGGTGAGGACCGTGTACTAAGCCGCCCTCCACACTATAAAACAGGGCTGTGCTTACTTCAGCAGCACATGTACTGAAATTGGACCAACACAGAGATGATTAGCCTGGCCCCTGTTCAAGGATGATGTGCAAACGTGTAAAGTGTTCCCAGAAAACAGAGCTGATCACAACCTCCAGCTCTACCTATGGAGTGTCTCTCTCTCCAGCCTTCTCTCTCCCTGCTTCTCCCCCAAGCCTGCATCCTAGCCAGGAATCACATGCTATTCGCTGATGGCACAAAAACTGTTCTGTACTTCCCTACTTTGGCATGTGGTGAACCCTCTACCTGAAACGTCCTCCCTGCTCCATCTCACCACTCTATCTGCCTGCTCTTCCTTCCAGACCCAACTCAAGGAAGTGTCCCCCTCCAGGAAGCTTCTCTGATCCCCACTGGAAAGGTGTGCCTCCCCTTTGTGCCTTTGACATAGTCCCCATCTCATGTTTGAACCATCTCAAGACTTTTGTACCTATGTTATCTGCTTCTTCTCCTAAATAATATGACCCCAGCAAAGGACCAGGGTAAGAACATGGGCTGTGAAGGCAACAGCACACCTGTCAGTCCTGCCTCCAGAGTTACTGGCCTTATGACCTTGTGCAGTTTCACTTCCTTCCTCTCTCTGAGCCTCCGTTTTTTCACCTGTAAAATGGGGATGCAAATACCTGCCTTTTAGGATTATTTTGTGCATCAGAAAAAATGTAAAGCTCTTGACTTAGCATCAAAGCTGCTCACAGGCACTCCATGTCTTGTTGACTCAGTATTCACCTGACCATCTTCAGTGGCTAGCACAGAACCCAGTGGTCCTCAAAGTTTTTTAAACACATGAGTGGAACAGACAGTTGGATGCCGCTAGAATTCAGAGAAGGGAGTGAGTGATCAGCGTTGATTTAAATAAAAGTAGCTTCATAGAGGGGATTGGATGTGAGCTGGCCCGGAATCTAGAAAAGCAGAGAGGGAAATGGAAAGGCATTCCTGGGCAGGGTAGGGCAGAACGAAAGCAAAGGCACAGAGACAAGTCTGAACGTAAGTGAGGCTAAAAGAGCTAGAAGGAATGTGAAGTCCAGAGTAGACAATGATGACAACTGTTTTATTAAAAAAATTAAAAAAGGTGTCTATGTGTCAGCTGCCGTGCTACTAAACACTGGTTTATGCCGGTGATCTATATGACAAGGCAAGGCCACCCTCTCCTGGGCTTCCCGCCTAGTGGGGAGGGTTGGCTGGTCAACAGACAGTGTGGTGAGAGCAGGTGCAGGGTGATGTCACAGCACAAAGGAGGAGCAACCCATCCAGGCATGGGGACCAGGGAGGAAGATTGCTGACAGAAGTCTAAACTAGGACCTAAAAGATAAATGGGAACCAGCCTAGTCAACGTGGTGGAACTTCATCTCTACTGAAAATACAAAAATTATCCAGGCGTGGTGGTGCATGCCTATAATCCCAAGCTTCTTGGGAGGCTAAGCCACTGTACTCCAGCCAGGGTGACAGAGCAAGGCTCTGTCTAAAAAAAAAAAAAAAAAAAAAGATGGTAATTTACCAGAAAAGATGAGGAGGAGGAATGTTCAGTGGGGAGTGGAGGTGTGTGTTGGAGCCTGGAGGAGTGGGGAAGGGGGACAGAAGCCTGAGCTGTCAGCAGGGGCAGAGTCTAAGGGGCCCTGCAAACCGCATGGAAGCCCTTAGGCTTCATTCTGAAGGCAGTGCTGAAGGCCTTGTGCAGAAAGTTGGGCTGGTTTTGAGTTGACTGTGTGCCAGTCCTATGCCAGGCTCTTGGCATGGCTTACATCAAGTTACCCACACAGTAACTCTGTGAAGGAGGCGTGATGCTCATTTCACAGAGAAGGAAACCAAGGCCTAGAGAAGTTAGAGAACTTGTCTAAGGTCACATGGCTAGGAGGTGACAAGCTAGGCTTGGACCCAGGTCTGACTCTGAAGACTGGGCTCTGAAGATCTGCACCATGCTGCCATATTCACCAGGGCATGTGGCTGGTCAGTGCAATGCCAGGACAGCAAAGACACCAGTCTGCCTGCACCAGAGGGCTGGCCTCAGGATATCAAGAAATCTTTCTAGAAAGGTAGGTAGTAGTCAGGTTGGGAAGAGCTCTGAATGCCAGGGCTAAGCAATTTGGGATTTACCCTGAGATAGTGATGAGCAATTGAAAGTTTCAGAACAAAGAAGGGACAAAATGACCATAAGACCTAGGCATTCCCAAAGCAAAGTTACAAGCTCATGTCTGTGAAATCCAAAGTAGTCCTTTCTGCATCTTCCAGAGGTTTCCCAGAAGCAACCTGGATTTTTTTTTTTTTTTTTTTTTTTGTCAGGGTCTCACTCTCAGCCAGGCTGGAGTGCATTGGTGCAATCAGGGCTCACTGCGGCCTCCAACTCCTGGGCTCAAGGGATCCTCCCATCTTAGCCTCCCAAGTAGCTGGGACTACAGATGCACAACACCATGCCTGGCTAATTTTTTAAATTTTTACTTTTTGTAGAGACCAAGTCTTGTGATGTTGCCCAGACTGGTCTTGAACTCCTGGCCTCAAGAGATCCTCCCGATTCCGACTCCTAAAGTGCTGTGACGCACCTCCTAAAGTGCATACGCCAGTGCGCCTGGCCAGCAACCTGAATTGTAACTCTGACTTCTGTCTCTTTAACTTGCTTTTACCAAATCAAACCTTCTCTTTTTGTCAGGCTGTGCAACCACAGTGCTGGTGACGGGGGCAGGAGTTGGTGAGATGGTGCTGCAGATGCTGGTTGGTTCGGTATGTGGGGGCCTGTAGGGGAGAGGGGAGCATTTGGGGAGCACTCCTCTGACAGGTGAGAAGATGCAGCTAGCGGCCTTCTGAACTCCAGCTGTCCCTTTCCTGAGTCTCCCGCAGAGCCAGCAGGGCTCCCTGTGCCGGTGTTACCTGTTTCCGTTTCTGAGCCAGCCCTGAGAGCAGAGCCTCCATATGTGGGATCTGGAGATGTGAACGGATGCATGGAAACGTCCAAAGCAAACACAAGCCTCGTCTGGGAGCGGGGCCAGAGGGGGCCCGTGGGAATGCTGTTTAGCTTTCAGAGCCTGAGATGGGTTGGAACTGCAGTGAGGGTTCTTTTTCCATCCCTTCAGAACCCACCACTCCCTACCCCACCTCTCACAGCCTCTGGCAGCCCTGCGCAGGGCCCGGCTTCCTGCTCGACTCCTGCCCTGACCGAGGGCCAACTCTTTCAGCTCTCTTCAAATCTACCCATGTTTCATCTGTTCACTAGGAGAAAAAAAGCCTAACATCTACTTTTTATTGAATACTATAATGTAGATATTATTCCCCTTTTTACAACAGAGGATACTGAAACTCAGATGAATTTAGCAACTTGCCGTAGGTCAGTCACACTTCCAGTAACTGACAGAGAGGACCTCACATCTAGATCTTTCAGCCTCCAAAATCTCCCTCACTGTGACTCGATTCTCCTTTCCTCCTCCTTTGCCCTGCTGGAGGGAGGGGAAGAGCTACATCTCACGATACCCTCCTCACTGAAATGACGTGATATCTGGGACTTGCTTTGCTGTAACCTAGTGCAGAGAAGAAGTGGAAGGTCACAGATGAATGGTGCTGATTGCTAAAGCTGAGTGATGGGTTCACCGGGGCTCCATATACGACTTGGACACATTTTAAGTTTTCATAATAAAAGGTTAAAACAATATGTCCTCTGTAAAGTTCTGGTTAGGGGTTATGGGTATAGAAACACCTAGTATGACTGGAGTTTCAATGATGATAGAGATTGTCAGAAGATTCCAGAACACAGAGCTACAAGGGACTGCAGGGGGTGACCAGGTCGAGCCCCTGCCTTTGAGTAGGACTTCTGCCTTCTCCAGACATATAACCTTGAAACAAGGCCAAGGCCTCCCTCCTCCCCATGATTCCATCTCTTGGTGTGACGGGCCTCAACCTGACCGAAAAACCAGCCAAGGATGGAGAGGGCTGCTTCTTCCAATACACCTTCCACGTGAAGTTTTAATGGTCTGTCTCTCTGTGTTTTCCCCTTTGGCAGATATTCCAGGCTCAGGGCAGCTATAGTTTCCTGGTCTGTGGCGTGATCTTTGGTTGCTTGGCTTTTACCTTCTATATCTTGCTCCTGTTTTTCCACAGGATGCATCCTGGACTCCCATCAGGTAAGGAAAGAATCCGTTTCTACACAAGAGGAGGAAAACAGAGCAGGGGGAGGACGGGGGAGATGCTATGGATCTTAACGTGCCAGAAACGCTACTCTGTTCCAAGTAAAATGCAAGGAAATGTTTATTTTTCTACAGCTTCCTTTCCCCCTCTTCCTGCTTTCCATACAATTGTCTGTGCTGGACTCTTAAGATAGGCAAGAGCTGGGTTCGCTGACTCATGGTTTCTCCGTTAGCAGAGGGGCATGGATTGTGAACTTGGCTTCCTGCATCCCACCATGCCACAGAACCATGAGCCAAGAATCTCTTTCCAGCCGGCTCAGGGCGCCAAAAGGCAGAGCCCGACTCCTTGGCTGGAACTCAGCCCAAAGGCCTAATTGGCCATCTCTTTGCAGTTCAGGATTTTGATTCTAGTCCAGATCTTTTTTTCAAAAAGAAGTCCTTCAGGCCAAGTGGCAAAGAAAGGCTCCTTCGGGGCAGAGACACTCCCAAGAATAGTCTCCCTTCTAGAGACCCCAGGCAGGGAGAGTCCCAAAGCTATTTTCATAACTCTGAGGCCTCACCTGCTCTTATGTCTACTGCTTTCAAAGTGCCCAGGGACTGCATCAGCTGTGTGCAGAGCCACTTCTTCAGAGAGGGTGCCCAGGCAGAGACGTTGTCCTCTCTATAAAAAGGAAAATAATCACAAAAAGACTAAAGGAACAGGCATCCATCATCCGCTCTCAGTGGGTGAGCATATCCACCCTCTAAACACTCAGTACAAAGGCCCAGAAGGAAAGGCGGCCCCCAAAATAGCACTAACTACAGCCTCACTTCTGGGATAGCAGTACTGGTTGCTGTCCAGCTCGGCATGCAGTGCAGAGTTTCATTTCAGACCTATGTTCAATTAATATTTGCTGAATATTAAATAAATAACACTTAATGGTTTCCTTATTCATGGGAGACAGACACATTCCCCAAGACCTAGACAGCAGTCTCAAGCAACTGCCTCCACTGCTTGCCAGAACTAGTGGATCTGACTTCTTCATTTTGCTCCCTCTAGAGCCACAGAATGGCAGAGAAACAAACAGCCTGGGTAAGCCCTCAGAATGAATCATCGCTGCAGCTCATCAGAGCTGCTGAAACATGCTACCTGTTTGTTTGTCTTTTGTAGTTCCTACCCAAGACAGATCAATTGGAATGGAAAACGCTGAGTCCTACCAGAGGTAAAACTGGGTGAAGGAGGCAAGAGAAGACGTTCAGCCTCTTGATCACCAGCACAACCACGCTGTTTCAGAAAGCTGGGTGGTGGTGCAGGCGCTCTCTCAATCACTGTTCAAGTCTTCTCCACTAAAACTTGGTTGGGTAAAGGAGATTAAATTGAGGCTTGGTACCTGGTCAAAATCATGAGAAGTTTACCTGGCTTCTCAAGTTACCTTCTTCCCTGGTTCAGACTGTTGGTAAGAGCTGTCCAGATACCCAGATGGGAAGGAAGGAGACAGCCACGCACTTCACTCCGTTTGTCGCCTCACGCATGGGCCATACTCTGGGTTTGAGATCATTCTTCATCGAAGTTTGTAAAAATAGGTTGAAATTGTAAACCTCCATGATCATTGATATAGGGAGATATATTTTATGCAAAACAAGCTGCAAGTTATTACCTGGCATGCTTAAAAGATTTATGTGCTTTTCACTTAATAATCCAAAGTCCCTTAAATTCCTGCTGCAGACATCCGTAGCTTATCTATATTCTCAAACACCAAAAGGAAAAGTTGAATCTTGCTCTCTTTGGTACACTAATTTAGTGGTATGCTGAGCTAGCTCATACCAGCTTAGAAAAGCTGATTGTAAAATTTTCATTTTGACAGCTAGTTATTAAATGCAGCCATTATTAAAAATTAAATCATACAAACATAATTAAATAAATTACATTTAAAACAAAGGTAAGAAATATTGAAAGCTTATCACTTCCTAATTTTATCTTGATGCTCTTGAGGTAATTCATGTCCATGGTACCTGTGTGGTGGAATTACTGTATATGATGGTGTGCTGCTGTGCACCTCGTCCCAGCCCCACCCTTGGTGATAGCATGTTGGTAGTTTGAAATCAGCCAAGTGGGAGTATTACCACGAACACTGGCGAAAGCTACAGATCCGGGAGAGCCCACTGTCAAACATTTACCAGCATACCATCGCTAGCAATCAAGGCTAACTGATCCAGAAATCGCCCGGGAGAATGAGATGGATGTTCCTTTTTCTCTACTGACACTGACTAGCATATAAAAGGTATAGAAATAGCACTAAGAATTTCTGAAAATACCTAACAAAAATGTTCCATCTTTTATAGAGGGAAAAAAACTCTTTATACCATGACAAGGCCTTTTCTTTCACAAAAAGCTGGGCCTACTGAACAATTCAAACTGTGCAGTAGACTGAAGCAGTATTTGTCAAGGAGTTATAGCTCCTGTCCACAGCAAATCCTGTCGTGATACAAGGAGAACACAAACTTGCCAGCCGAGACAGGGATCAGTCCTGAGACTGCTGGCAGTAGCAAATGGCTGTCACAGTAACTGTCTAATGGTTTTGCCTGCACTTTCTCTATGTATATACAAATGTACACGTATAAATTAAAAATTAAGTGATCATGGTTCTCGGTAACCTGTCCCACGTGCTGTGGTTCGCACACCTGACACTAAAACGTTCTTCCTGGTCCAGTCAGCCAGCTGTGACCACCACAGCTGACTGCTGGGAATCTGGCTGGAAAGAGAGAGCTGACTCAAGCACTGGCTCTGCTTCTAGCTGTGTGGCTCTGGGCAGGTTACTGAGGCTCTGCCAACCTCACTTTTTCACATGTAAAATGGGATTTCTAAAAGTACCTACCCTACCTCAAAGGAATTCTGAAAAAATTAAGTGAATTTGTATAAAGCACTCACAATATGCCTGACACAGAAACTGCTTAATACCTGTTAGTAATTTTTAAAACCTCCTCATAAGCAGCTTAGGAATTATTCATACGTTTGGTACATATTGATTGCAAGTTAAGTAGATCCAACTTTTTTCGAAAGCTGCTGGTCTAGGAGCTTAGTTTTAATTATGTTTGTAAATACTCAAAAGTATTAGATGCTAGTCTAATTTAAACGCAGTCTGATCGTAGTGACTGACTGACCTGGGCAACGAAAAAGCAGTTGTATTTTTCAAGAAAACATCCTTTTTATACAGATTTAGAAAGAAGAATCAATGGCTATATCTAGGTTGATTGTGACTCATTTGTTAATAGAGAAAAAAAGATGAAAACTAAGAGTACCTTTCCTAAAATAAAATATTTTAAACTTATTAAGTGTGTTATCCATTATGAAGAATGATTGATCCTTCTGTACACACTCAGAAACAAATGGCCTCATGTTCCCCAGAGACAGGTCCCTCTCATACCATGGCTGATATTTTAGAAGAAAGAAAACTGTCTCACAAAGGAAACTGATTTTTTTTAAAAAAAGAAAAAATAAATAAAGAACCTCTCATAACAGGCTGCGTGCCACTATTCCCATAAAATGAGAATAAGGGAAAGGCAGATAGATCCTTAGACTACACTTCTAAATCAGTTACACAGCGAATAGGACTTTCTTCATGATCTTCCTCTCAAGAACTTCGACATTTCAGAGTCCTGTGGAGTCACCCTGTTCCCAGATTTTCCTCCTATTTGGGCATGGAAATTAACCCATCAAGCACATCTGATTCACTAAAAGAAGACACACTGACATACAGTTCGAGTGAATTTCATTTATTCAGTCAAAAGGATTCGTTAAGCACCTGCTATGTTCAAGGCACTAAGATACAGACATCCAGTGGTGACTGAGACAGAAGTTCCTGCCTCACAGGGATTATACCACAGGTGAAGACATATAGACAGCAAACAAATACTATAGGTAACATGCCACAGGGTGAGGGCTAATGTAGCCCCATAAAGAAACATACAGCAAGGAAGTGGGGTGGGAATGGGGGATGTCACTAGATGCTCTGGGCCAGGCACGGTGGCTGTCGCCTGTAATCCCAGCACTTTGGGAGGCCGAGGTGGGCGGATCACCTGAGTGCAGGAGTTCAAGACCAGCCTGGCCAACAGTGCAAAACCCTATCTCTACTAAAATTATAAACTTTAGCTGCGCATGGCGGTGCACACCTGTAATCTGTAATCCCAGCTACTGGAGAGGCTGAGATGGGAGAATCGCTTGAACCCAGGAGGCGGAGGTTACAGTGAGCTGAAATCGTACCACTGCACTCCAGCCTGGGTGACAGAGCAAGGCTCTGTCTCAAAAAAAAAAAAAAAAAAAAACAAGATGCTCTGAAAGGCCTTTCTAAGGAGGTCCTATTTGTGTAGAAAATTAATGATATGTGAGAGCAAGCCATCCAAGTACTTGCAAACATCCTATCAGGCAGGGGACACAGCAAGTACATGAGCCTTAGGCTGGAATATGCTTACGGTATTGGAATAGCAAGCAGGCTGGTGTGGCTCAACTGCAGTGAGGAAGAGTCCCAAGGAAGAGGTGGGAGTGGTTGCTAAGAGGCCAGATCATACAAGCCGTGGTACATGTAGAGTTTTTTTTTTTTTTTTTTTGAGTGATGTAAGATTACTGGGAGAGTTGTAAGCAGGCAAGTGACATGATCTGATTTACATATGTAAAGTATCACTCTGGCTATTATGGAAAAAAGACTGTGGGACTGTGGGGCAAGCATGGAATTGGGAAGACCAGCTGGGTACCACTGCAGTAGACTGAGCAAATGATGGTGGCTTGGACAATGTTGATGGCAACGAAGTGGTGAAAGTGATTAGATTCAAGCAATATTTTGAAGGTGAAACTGACAGAATTTGCTGATAGACTGGGTGTAGGGTGAGAAAAACAAAAATCAAGGATGACCCCAAGGAATCCGACCTAAGTGACTGGGTACATGATGAAGCCATTTAACACTGGAAAACCATGAGGAGACATTCAGAGTTCTATTTTGGACATTATCATCTTATGATGCAATCTTGGACGTCAAGACTGTTAGATATAGAAGTCTAGTTTAAAAGAGAAGTCGAGCCTGAAGATACAAATTTTGTGGTCACATACATAAAGTATTTAAAGTCATGGGACTAAAATGACACAAGCTACGGAGTGAATGTAGAGATGGTCAGATTGAGCCCTGGGATTCTTCAACATCTAGAGTTTTAGAAAAAGAACAAGTCCCAGCAGAGCAAATGAGAGAAGCCAGAGAAACAGGAAGTTCAGGAGAAAATGTGATTTCCTGGAGGGCACATGAAGTGTATCTCAAGAAGGAGGAATAAGTAATCAGTGCTGCCAAGGCCCAATGAACACCGAATGTCAACCACCAGATATGGCAACATGTAAGGTGACCTTGACTAGAGAAGGTAGTTTCGGTTAATGATGGTGACACACTCAAAACACATGGTGGTGGCTCACCCCTAATCTCAGTGCTTCGGGAGGTCACGGTGGGAGGATCATTTGAGCCCAGGAGTTCAAGGTTGCAGGGAGCCACGACTGCCCCACTGCAGTCCACCCTGGTGACAGCAAGGCTGACCCCAAAACAAACCAAAAAATTACATGGGAACCATCCAATGGACTCTGATACTCCAATAACCTCCTAACACCAACGCTTGTCAGGTAACTGGCACAGCTGTTTGAGTTTGCTCTGGTTTCTTTTTTTTTTTTTTTTTTTTTTTTTTTTTTTGGGTGGTTTTTTTTTTTTTTTTTTTTTTTTTTTTTTGAGAGGGAGTTTCACGTTTCACTCTCATTACCTAGTCTGGAGTACAATGGCACGATCTTGGCTCACTGCAACCTCCGCCTCCTAGGTTCAGGCAGTTCTCCTGTCTCGGCCTCCCAAGTAGCTGGGATTACAGGGATGCCCAGCTAATTTTTTATTTTTAATAGAGACCAGGTTTCACCATGTTGGTCAGGCTAGTCTTGAACTCCTGACCTCCAGTGAGCCACCTTCCTTGGCCTCCCAAAATGCTGGGATTACAGGTGTGAGCTACTGTGCCCGGCCTGCTCCTGCTTCATTTTTCAATAAAATGAAGTCATTTTCATAGACTCCCTGCAGTTATAGGGTGTAATCCAGTAAGTGCAGTGTTTTGTAGCAACAATTAATATGAAATCGTGTGACTGTTAATGATTATCTCCTACCTGATAATGCGAACCCTGGAAAATTACCCAATATTAGGATATTGGTTTGTCATTAGATGTACCTATAAAGACAGAAAGTGCTTGCAAAACAGAGTCTCAAAAAAAAGACACTCTAGCCCAGGCCAGAATGCAGTGGCATGATCTCAAGCTCGGCTTACTGCAACCTCTGCCTCCTGGGTTCATGCGATTCTCTCCCCTCAGCCTCCTGAGTAGCTAGGATTACAGGTGCGCACCACCACACCCAGCTAATTTTTTGTATTTTTAGTAGAGATGGGATTTCACCATGTTGGTCAGGCTGGTCTTGAACTCCTGACCTTTTGATCTGCCTGCCTTGGCCTCCGAAAGTGCTGGGATTACAGGCGTGAGCCACCATGCCTGGCCACAGGTAGGTTTCTCAAAAGAAGTAGTGTCAGGCCGGGCGCGGTGGCTCAAGCCTGTAATCCCAGCACTTTGGGAGGCCGAGGCGGGTGGATCACGAGGTCAAGAGATCGAGACCATCCTGGTCAACATGGTGAAACCCC